AGCTCTAAGACTTGAAGGGTTACCCAGAAATTGATACTTGAATAAAAAAGTATTGATGATAAAGCTTAAAGTAACTGTGAAAATACTGTAATGTGTATGAGAAAGTAATAACAATAAAGCTTCAAGTAACAGTGCTATTAAAAGAATAAAAACAGCGAAAACAAAAGATTATGAGGAAAAATACTAAACTCGCATAAATAGCTTTTGATTCATCGACTCATGGTTCTCGAACATAGGGTGTATACAGATCGAAACTCGTCCATCCAGGTATTTAGTCACTTCCAGAGTCCTCTTATCGCATTCTCAAGAACTTTTCACAAAGTTCGTGTTATTTAAAGGTAAGTGATTGTACTCTTATATACTGACTCGTCATAGCTCAAATTGGCTTATCTAGCTAATCTTTGCTCATATCAGCCCATGTTATTAGACGGAAGATGTTCAAGTTGCGGGGGTGATTTAGAAGCGTATAGTTAATCCGGAAGAGCCTACTCGAGTAGTCTAGTCGCATTTCAGATAATTCTTCATTGCTTTGGTATACAACTCTCCCGCGATTCAATTCATTTCCGTAAAATCAAACTTCCACGTCGAATAGAACTTGCTGTATTAGGGAATATGACCTAGGCAAAACCCCGATTGTTCCACTAGGCTGTCCGAGTTATACTTCCATTGAAGAGCTGCTTATAACAAGAGTACGCGAGTAAAGATGATAAGTTTGATGGTGGCGACGACATCGAGAAAGTTAGTGATGAGATTATAAGGGGTATTAGTTATTTCAATAAATCAACGATACAGTAACTAAAAGAAAATAGGAGGAAAGACAATAATGACAAAAGTAAAACCACACTGTGTCCATTGCTACCCATTGTATTCTCAATCCTTACGTATATAGATACACTCCTCAGCCTCCTCTTTCAATTAAGCAAATAAACACAGCGTATCTTCTGCAAATGTCATGACATGAACAAGTGGACAATAAACAAAACCAGGCAATCCGCTGAAACATTCAAGTTCGTATATCCTACTTCCATCGCAGGAACCATTGAGTCTGACAGCAGTTTAACTAACGAGAGAGAAATGATATGACATTTATTGAGATGCCCTAAGATTAGCAACAAGAAAAATATACTCGTAATGGTTATCAGCAGAAACAATAAAGTAACGATATAAGCAACAGCAAAATCCCCAAAGACTCAACAGACCCCCATTGCGACTCAGCCTACTCGCAAACCAGCTAGATTCTCAATCTCGTACTGTCTCTCACCAGTCGTCCCCTTGTGATGGGATTTTCTCTCTAGTAAACAACTTCAACGAATTTGAAAATCATGGTTGTCAGAGGTATATATATATACCACACACACACTAGAACCGCCACTGCCGAGATAATTTTTCTCTCAAAAAGGAGAAAGAAAGGAAGAAAGATCCGAGTCCAAAGCTATCTAGGATGATTCACTTCACTTCGCTTTCATATTTCCAAATATAAATATAAATATATCTGTCAATTTTGGAGAGTATCAATTAAACCTACTACATACATCCTACAAATTACAATACATAGTATTGAGCAATAGGTAGAGGTATATTCGAGGTGAATGAAAGAGGCGTAGAAGATTTCTAATTTCTAAGATGATGTTAGAGTCAAGAGCCAAGAGTAAATATATAATATTAATATTAATATTAATAATTTTCGCCCCATTTTCAAAGTACTACATACTTACTAATCATAAGAGATTCAAGATGAAAATTCCTTCCATCGCGGTGCCAGTAGCAGTAGCTAGCAGAAACGTAAAACAGTGCACAGTAACCTCATGATGTTGACTACAGTACATATATACTTTAAATTCATGTATCAGGGACCTACCTAATCATTACACCCTCCCCCCTCCCCCCCATCGCCTTCCTTCCTTCCTTCCTTCCCCTCAAACCTCGCCAAGACCAGCACCAGCACAAGCACAACCCACCGATACTATATCAATAACATAACATAACATACATGATTTCAAAACTAGACCGACTAGAATATCTTCTTCAAGACAATAAGGTTGGGTTAGAGGGTAGAGGGAGGAGGGAGGAGGGAGGAGGTGGGGGCTCCTTGAGAATTTAGTCAAGAATTTGGTTTCCGATCCACAACCCCAACCCCAACCCCAATGCAAAATATGCATCAATAAGCTACTAACTTTCGAGGGATACCATATATGTAAGTTACAAGGAACAGATAACAAGTACCAAGTACAAAGTACAAAGTACCAATAAAAACTTACAGTATCCATATCAACACCAACACAAACAAACCCCCAAAGAAAAGAAACCTACCTTAATTCCTATTCCAATATATATTCCCATCACATCACATTACCTTCCTTCCATCTCTACCAGCGCCCTTCTACTGTAATTCAATTCGATTCAACACGACCATTCGCCATGCGCCATTCGCCATTCACCATGAACCAGGAACCAGGAACCACATTCTCTTCTTCACACATCGCAACTTGCAGCGCTTCCCTACCAAGCAAGCTCCGACCACGTTACCCCTTCCCCCTCAACCTTACCCCTCACCGTTACCCTTGCCCTCACCCTTACCCCTCACCCATGCACATTCACCATTCCCCATTCCCCTAAAGATGATCTTACAATACACCCCCAGCATCAGCATCAGCATCAACCTCAGACCCGAGTACCACCCACCTACTCATCCCAATTACATACCTCCATACCTCCATACCATACCATACCATACCATACCAAGACGAGAAGAATACCTGTATCTATATCGAATCAATTCGATCACCACATCATTTCCGCGCCCAAATAACCCTTCAATTTTTCCATTCCATTCCATTCCATTTCCCCAACGTGTTTCGAACAATCTTCATTATTACCAGTCATGATTAATGAACCGGAAAGCCATGCTCCATTCGCAAAAGAATTCTTTACTTTGGGTCCTCCCTCGAATAGGGTCGCGCGCTATGCTATGTTCTCGGCCCAACGGTCTCGGTTCCCCAGACCCCAGACTCCAGACTCCAGACCCCAGACCACAGACCACACCTAAGCTTAAGCTTAAGCTCATGGATTACATTACGCATCGGGCATGGAAGGCCCAATCCTTCCAGCCCATGCCAGACACACGTGCGTATCCCAGTCCCAGTCCCAGTCACAGTCACAGTCCCAGTCCAGCCACATACCGGTATAGGTCATCCCATCCCCATCCCATCCCATCCTCCATAACAAAATTCTTATCTTAACGACCCTCCAACACCCAAAACCATGGTATGGCCATGTATGTTATCTCGCCAAGCCGCGTAACGTTGCGCCCTGAGTTGAGTGAGGCCCATTCTTTCTCACCAACATCAAAGGTAGCCTAAGCGTCCAATATATTCCTAGGCTATCTCCTATGCTATGTCCATCACAATCTCCATTCCACGTGGGGTTCACTTGTCTCTCGCACTAGCCCGAGACCAGGTATATGCGCCCACATGGCACATGGTAAAATGTCGTCTCCACCGTCCACCCACCATAGCTCCGGGTCCGGAGATCCGTTGCTGGTCCCATCACAATGATCACATCATAACCGCGTATTTATTGATCCATAACCACTCCACTCTAGAATTCAACAGACCGCCCACTATGAAGATAGCACTTTCCCCCCAAATAATATAAAAAATGCACAAAAAATCTTAAATCCTCTTTCCTATCTGAGTTTACAATTCGGAAGAATCTCCCGATTCGATAAACCAAGCAGTATAAAAACTCCAATTTATGTGATTGTGATACATAAATCAGCCGAGCAAATTCTCCCAACCCATTAGAGATAAATCAACAAACTCCCGAATAAGCCAAGCCATATCTGCATTTACGAGAGGGAGAGAAAAAAAAGAAGCAAATACAAATCGGGACATTCAAACGATTAACAAAACCCACACACAATTCACCTTCGTTATACATTTTAGCCCAAAAGTAGAAAGGTAATATAGACACGAATTATGCACCGGTACTCGTAAATCCTAAATAAAAATATCTCTCCGATCTATTTCTGATGGGCGCCAAAAAGCTAGGGCCAAACCCCAATAGACGGATATGATGCTTAGATCATGGAGAGTGACAAACCATTAACGTGAGGTAATGTGATAGTGGGGATATAGTAATGTGATGTGACAGGCGCAGGCCAAATTGCAAAATAATAACGGAAGCGCAGAATGTAGGGAAACTTCCCACCACCTTTGTCCGAGGAATTATTGTTCTGGGCAGCTCGAAGAACATTTTACCTGAGACATCAAGACATTGATGAATGGAAAAAAGGAAGAAAATGAGCTATCATCAAATATCTGATTGTTCTCTTCCATTCGTTCCTAGTTTAGGATTTATTTCCCATGTGGCTGATGCGCCGCCACGGCGATGATTAAGCTAATCCTTTACTCATTGATGCCTCTCAATCTCTCCTGAATATTCAAATAGTACATCCACCTCCCCAATCAATCCATCAAATCATCCGTCCATTCACCCAAACCCAACTCAATAACACAATGATCCAGAAGATAATCCAGAATACCACCACCGCCGCCCCATAGCACAATCTTTGATCCAGAATTTTCCTTTCCATCCATCCATCCATTCATCCTTCCATCAAGTCCCATGTCCATGTCCATCCCTCCGTCCAATATGTGCCTTATAATTTTATGTAATGTAAAGTAGTGTATGTAAAAGTCTTTCGTTCAATCAAAAAGTCAAGTAAGTAGTAGTAAACCAAAGTCAAAGTCTCGCTCGCTCGCATCGCAGGCATCGCAATCGCAAAAGGGTATCCAGGCGTAGTTCGGATATCTTTCCATTAACTTACAGTTCGCGCAAGCGCAAGGGGAAATGCAAGCAAAGCAGACGCAACGCAGAAGAATAGAAGGTAAGCTCGCATATGTCATTTTCATTCCGTCATAAACCCTAGCCAGTGACTTGAAAATAAGTAGTGCAAGCGAAAAGGGGAAAGGCGAGTAAGAATTGAATTGGCGAAAGAATTAGAAGACTGTCCCATCGCTGAGTATGGCAATTGGTGGACATTGAGTATTTGGACGTGAGATTTCGGCCATTTCTCTACCTCCCTGTGTGTTCTATCAGTATTCGGTGTCTTCATAATCAAAGGAGAAATGGATGTAACATACCTTCCAACTGCCAGCCTCCAACATTTGTGGTAGAGACATTTTATCTTGACCAGAAAGTCCTAGACTAGCATTTACCTCATCCAGTAACAAATCTAGGAAACCAACGGTCACAGCTCTCCACTCAACGATCACATCATCATCTGGTGTGAACATTGGAACAACTTCCAAACTTGGTTTGCCTTCTCTCTCTGCATTGCGATGGAATGCTTCGAGTCCTCTTTTTGTTTCATCTCTTCTTAAATTTAATACACCAGTATCAATGAACAAACCGCCATTTCGATATTCGGGTAAACCGGTCAATAGTTCGGCTCCGGCGAAGTGTATGTTCATGAGTTTAGTCATAGGTTGCATAAGAGAGTAGCAAAGCCATTGGGAAAGCTTATGGAATGGGACGATGGTCTCCCATAGAGGGGTTGCCGCATCTGCAGGCATGGTGGTTAGACGCCAGGCGTCACCAATAGATGTGCCATCCACTTCTGTACGAGATGCTGGCCAGATTGGTGCAAGACCATCGATCAAGACACTCCATAATGTAGTCAGAGGAACGATTGGTACGGATGCAGCTTGGGTAGAAGGATGGGAGATGAGGAAATCTGTAAATGTTAGAATTAAATATTTCTAAACGTTGTGAAGACATACCTAGCATGTTTCCAGGTCTAGCATCTTCACCAAACAAAGAAGGATTTCGCAAGGCTTTAGCAAGTTTAACCAATAAACCAGTTCTTCCTGCCAAACCTGCAATCGGATTCTGTTCGGTGACCTGTAGACCTGAACTCATGATCTCCACTGTCAATCTGGACAGACCATCCGCATCAACTTGGTGTGGTTGTGCTGGATCACTACTAAAAGTACCAGCCTTGAACATTTCCAAACTAGCAATTGCTAAGCCTTCACTTCTTCTATATGTGCGACCACTCTCTATACTCTTGTATTTCCATGAGGTACCAGCGCCAGCATCGAGTAGGACGGATACGAGGAAGAGATCGAGGATTCGGCGGCATCGTTCGGAAGGATTAACTTGACTTGGCCAACTTCCTAAGAGTTCTCCAATTCTATCTCTGCCTCCGACGTTGAAATGTTGCCAGCGACCATGGGGGGGGATTACATGATAATCGGATCCGAAATCGCGCTTTAGGTGCAACAAATATTAGAATGAGATCCCACAGTCATGCAAGGCAAATGTGAATGAATACCTTGATTATTGAGACGACAAACTTTGTAGTGTCCTTAAATCTCCCCATATCAACTTCAAAATGATTCAAATCATTCTGCTTAGCCTTCTCCAGAATGATAGCACATCTTTCCCGCACAGCACCGATACTTCTCAAATATCCAGCTGGATCGACATTTGGATCTGGTGCCTTGGGTAATGCGATCTTTGGTATGGTGGGGTTAGACATTCTCGAGAAACCGGGAGTGGAAGGCGATTTTAGTGAGGATTGTGAGGAACGTAAAGATTGAACTTCAGTTAGTTGTGTAGAATTCGTTCTTGATGATGAGGGGTTTGAAGGAGAAGTCTTTTCTTTGCGTGAAAAGAGACCCATTTCGGTATTTAAGTCTTTCCCCTTGCTTGGTATTCTCCCTTATGCGGATGCCCTGTATAATGCAGCGCAGTGCGTCCTTTTGGTCCCCTGGTGGTTGACCGTACTTGGGTTACAATTCCCGGATGCCCTGTAATCGACAGAAAAGCTGGGTCGGACTTTTATTTACTTTTTAATTTGAATTATCTTCTGCAATGGGTCCTTGATTATCGTTGTTGGCAAATGCATACACACACACAGAGTACACTGTACAGAGAGTGCTCTTGTTTCGATAAGCTTGTTGGTGAGGGGGGCTTTGTAGTCCTTGCGGACCTTGTGAAATCCGTTATTATTATTCGACCCTTTCCTTTGGATAGATTTGGGTCGATATGTATGTAGGTCCTTGCGTTTTGAATGTTGTCTCGTGAATTGGGGATCGACGACTTCACACCGCGGAAGAGGGAAGGAGAGAAGGATAGGAAATGATTTGATGGTTGCAACTTGCCCGAGACCTTTTGTGTGGATAAGTACAGTAAGTGGGGGAAAGTATAGAAGAAGGGTCGTAACTGTGGATAATTTACCTTCTTTTTTTATTTTCTTTTTCGATCAACAAGAAGAAAGAGAAGTTGAGTACGAAGTGAATGAATGAGTGAGTTATCGAGTACAGAGGACCGGTAGTAAAGAATGAACGAATAGTATAGGGAGTAAGTGAGTGAGTGGATGGGTTATTTCGATTAGTTGTTCCTGTTATTTCCTTCTTTGTAGTGTTGTATGAGTAGGATGAGAAAAGGTATATACAGTATAATGTAATGCAATATGATGTGAGCTCTTCTTTTTCTCTTCTCGTCTCTTCTTTTGACTGGGTGGTCCAGAACAATTTAATTTAATTCGATTCTCTTGTACTACTTCGAGTAGATAAGCAGGTACTTTGTGAGGTAATTAATTAGCTGCCAACCGTGACAAGTAGGAATAGTGGAGGAATAAAGTGAAAGGATTAGTGGAATTGTAGTCAAGTCACCGACCAAATCGTCTAGCGGATCAAGAATCTTAACCTGGGTAAATCGGTTTGTATTGTAGTGAATTGATTTGTTGATACGAGTAGGTCTTTAATGGCTCAAATAGTTCACCAAGGAGGGGATAAAATGTTGATGAGTAGCCTAGCTAAGTAATATTATTTCGTACGAGGAATAGTGGAGTTACGATGGTGCATGCGATTAAAGTGTATTCGGGTATGATTTATAAGTCTTCCGGTAGATACGAAAGTATCTATTGGTAGCTTTCTTTTGTTGCTGTATTGATTTGTACGTATATAAATCCAAGTTGGGAGTTAACCATTTATATAAGTTGTGGATGGTAAGGTATGTTCGTGGGTTTTAGTCGTGCTAGTGGGATGATCATCTATGGCCGATATATGACAATTCGACAATATGGAGAGTCCAGAGCTTCTCAATCAAGTAATAAAGAAGTAGATGATGAAAAATTGGATAAGATGATGTGAGATTCGGTAGTTGTTCAGTGCCTTGGAGGTAAAACTTCATAAAGCAATTCATGCAGGCTGGATGATGTGAGTTCCAACTTCCATGAAATGACGAATATACCTACCTAAGGAAGATTCATATTCAGTTGGGCATGCTTTCATTCCCCCCCACCCCCCAAAAGATACCGAGAGAGATCATTACCTACTTCAAAATGCGTTGTGTATCTAAAGCTAAGAAACAACCTTGAACCAGGAATGCCATTGACATATTGATTATCAGCTTAATTCTTTTTTTCTATGCAAAAGCGATGTGAGGCGTAGACTTGTCCTCAACTTCCTCTTTAGTCCTTGTACGAAACGGGTCAGATTATTCCTAAATACGGGGAAAGTCCTGCAAACGAAGATTGATAACCAGTATTATCCTGTAAGGTTGAATAACGGCTCAAGCCTCAAGCATCTGTCACTTTGGAGTCAAAAATATACCTAGTACAACACCGGTATGTTACCGTTACCAAATATTCATCCTCCACGGCTTAAACGGCTACTTATCTGTTAGGAGTCTTAAGACCGACTGATGCTGAACATCGAGGTCAAACGAAGCTCGAATATCGTAAATCGACCAAGGACAAACCCAGGACAATTTGCCCAATGCAACGAAAACAGACGACACGACGTTAACATCCTCGTTCCCCAGTCCTCTATATCGATTACGACTGTTCAGGGTTCAAGCTTGGTAATCAATGGCGCAGGAATGAAGAAATTTGTCAGTTGAAGCCTTGAAGGATTAGATGGGAATCATGATTATCCGTAAACGCCTCGCGCCGTCATTGGAAGTTTCGCCTCACGCCATGATTTAAGGATTTTCGGGGATTGGTCAAGCTAGATGATAGGTTGTTCAGGTACGATCATGTCCATCAGAGCATGGTGCTTCTCCTCCCTCGGCGTTCATTCACTGGGTAGCCCAGTCGAATCTTGAAGAGCTCTGGCTTCACAAACCTTCAAACAATTGGAAACACGGAATCAGTCCCCAAAAGTATGGTACCGACGCAATTGTCTCCATATCTTTTACGGTACTACCCTTCCAAGTCTTCCCTAAATTGCTTCTAGTTTTCCAAGTCCGTGGACACTGCATGTATACCTTGTATGTGATTACCTACACCCCCTCTTCATATGCCTCACAAGTTTGATATCGGCATCTTATCCCAGAGAGTGATAATGAACCGGGATATAGGCTTGTTGATTGACAGTTAGCACCGACTATTCGATATGCAGGTACAAGTAACGAATGGGAAACCAAGGATCCATATTTCAAGGGTTCCAATGGACCGGCTCGCGGATAAATATAGTGAGGTTTAGTCTGTGATGAGCGGGATGGCTAACAGCGGGTCGGTTATGATTGTAAAAGCGGCTAGGTTGGCGAGTTTGGCGAGGTTGGCAAGGTTAAATGATATTGAAGTTATTGATATTTTGCTTGGGGTCTTCAATCTAGTGAAAGTGAAAGAGGAAGAGGCAAAGAAACAGTAGGATTTTGGAGCTGTTGAGAGGTGACGAGAGATTCCTTTATGATAGATAATAAGATGATGACATGAGGTCAAAATGGAAGGTAGGATCTAATTAGATATAGGTAGATATATCAATCTTACGAAAGGTAAGTACCAGTTTACGAGCAATGGATGGCCTGAAGAAAGAGGCACAGAGCAAGACCCTTCTTTTAATGACCTTACCTTTGGAGTATTGATCATCCATTATTTAACTCATAGATGGGGTTTGGAAGGCAGTCAATCGCGGTTCACATCATTATTGAACAGAATTTGAATTGGTGTAAATTGAAACTTATTTTGGAACCGAATATGGAAATGGATGATCGATCAGCTCATGCAGAGTTTCTGCAAAGCTGATTGAATTTTACGAAGCGCTTCAATTTTAGTTCTCGACTCTTGACAAAATTCAAGAGAAAACGGCAAATGAATGTGCCACAAGAGTCAAGACAGGCAACAATAACCAAGCTGCCCCTGAATTTTCATCGCTCGTTGCCGTTGACGGCCTTCCTCTCTATATGGTTTACGAAGTGCAGTTGTTCTATCATTTCTATATGTACCATCAACTCAATCAGGATTTTACTTCCGTTTGATGACATATCCAGTTCCAAATGCACACGTAATGTCACATGTTATTTGTGTATTCTATGGAGCAACGGATTCTTCTCTTCTTACTTTAATATAAGCAAGAAAGCATAATTTAGATGATCAAATATAAATTAATATATCTCATCGGCTATGTTGGCCTGAGGGAGTTGATAAATTGAGGATGAGGAGTAAGGTTACGGAACAAACAACCCTCCATAAAGTTTGAATATGGGAAACATGGAATATGTATGGATTCTAGACATTTAAGACTTTCACACTTTTAAGAATTAGACCGAGAAACTGATCCATGGGAATAAGAGGCTCTGTTGGTAAGTTTTGCTGACAATCAATTGTATGCAATACAGTATGGAGCAAACAAGAGTTAATTGTCAAACGAAAGCTACGAAGCTTCCCGCCATGAAATGAAGGGGAAGCTCTTCGGGTGATCTTGATGGAGCGATAAATAGAAAGCTAAATACTAAATATTGGAAGGTTAACTTTAAATTCCAACTGAAATACCCCTCCGAAGTTATTAAAATAAAAATCGTGAAATCCTATAAGCTTCATCTCCTTCGTTTTTGAGCAAGCGGGAGATCAATCATTGGAGAGCAATTTAGGTTTGTGCTCAAAAGCGTGACATGTATTTTACGGTAAGCGAAATGATCACCAAGCGCAATATCATTTTGGAACCATCCGTCACCCCCTTGAGGAGGTAAAAGTTCATGGATCCTTAATGATTTCTATGATTTTCTCTCGCACATAGCGACATATCCCCAATTTGTTTTGCACGCATATTCTCTTCTTTTTTGCGCTTTCATTGCATGCAGTCTTCTCTTTATATGTCTCAAAATGGATGATCTTAATGGTTTAGAATGGTCTGCCGCTTCCAATACAAAACCAAATAAAGTATCACCTGGTACAGGAAATTACTACCCCACGTTACGTCCAACTCCATCGCCTGCGAACTCTGGAAGAAATACCCCTCTGTCTGCTCAAGGGTCAGGAATCCCAAAATCATTGGCGCCGCCTAAAACTACAGCCCCAGACAGCTTCTCGAACCTCGTATCTTTTGGATCTTCGAAAACGAATACGTTGACGTTAGAACAACAGCAAGCGAAGCTACAACAAGAGAAGAGAAGGAAGGAGGAAGAACAAAGGAAGCAATATGATGCGCAGTTTGGTAATACACAATTTTGGGATGGACTGGGCAATAGGGGAAAGAGTGTTGCAGGGCTATCTCCAGTACCATCACCAATTTCTGCCATGACGAGCCAACCTCTCACGTCCCCATTTGCGCTAACTACCTCTCCACCACCAATTGGAGACGGTACTGGCAATTCTGGTGACGATGATCTTTTTGCAGCGTTCAATAAAGATACCCAAGTAGATAAATCCAGTCATTATCCACCACCTTCTGCCTCTTCAAGTCGTGCGCATACTCCAGGATTTGGCACAACCAGTATACCCGATCTGAGTAAACCGCAAGCTTGGGATCAACCAATAAGTGGTTCGGGTGATTTTGGGGATGACGATGATCCATTCGGATTGGGTCAGATGAAACCACCAACCTCTGCGCCCGTATCAATATCAAATACGACGGATGATGATGACTTCTTGGGAGATTTAGGAAAGCCAGTAGAAGAAGTAAGGAGGCCTACACCTGCGGTAATGGAATTACGTGCCGAATCAAGCTCTGATGATGAAGATTCTGATGATCCTTGGGATAAGGCCGTTGCTGAACTTGTGGATATGGGATTTACGGCAGAACAGTCGAGGCTTGCTTTGACTGAAGGTGGTTCTGGTCTTGACATACAGGCAGCTGTTGGATGGATACTTAATGATGCACATGCACAAGCTAAGGCAAAGACACAACCTAAGGAGCCTAGTCACCGGAATGGTTCCGCTTCACACGGGGAAAGGAGGAATGCATCGACGGATGGTCGGAAAGGAAACCCGGCTTGGATGCGAGAAGAAATAAGATCTCAATCACAGCAACCTCGAAGAGAAGGCAATCATTCACCAAATAACGAAAATGACTTTTCGAAAACTGCTGCTGCTGTTGGAAGTAATATATTCAAGACTGCAAATTCGTTTTGGAAGACATCCCAGAAGAAAATTGAAAAAGCGGTTGCCGAATTCCAAGCCGATGTTGATCCAAGCCAACCGAAATGGATGAGAGAGGCAGCAGAAAGAGAGGCTATGTCTGAACAGCGTGCAAGGCGTGCAACAGCCGAAGCTGCTAAAATTACTCCTGATGTTACGGATGAAGCTCTTGCTTTAGAAAGCGGATCCAGACCACCGCCAAGGAAATCGAAAGCTGCTGCATCTGATTCGGGTGCTTCACGTGACATATCTCCTGTTGCTGCGCGATTCCCGCCGGAGCGACCTACATCTAATCCGCGATGGCAACAAACACGACCTCAAAGTCGACCTACTCCACCTTTAGCAGATTCTAAACTACGAGTAAGCAAGCAAGCCATAGAAGAGCAAAGTGCTCAGGCATACGTTAGTCCTTCTCGACGGAGAAAGGCTACTCCTCAACCTCAGCCTACACGAGAACCAGAACCAGATCTTCTATTCGCTCCGTCGTCACAATCAAGGTCAGCATCAAAACCAGTACCATCTAGAGCAAGACCAACACCGTCGCCCAAACCTTCAACACCGGTGCCATCTAGACCAAAAGCTCCGCCACGTGCGATTCCAGCTATTTCTCCTATTGCCTTGAAATCTTCCACACAACATCGCTTAGAAGGCAAAGCACATTTCGACCGTGGTGACTACTCCACAGCCCATACATCCTACACTTCTTCTCTTTCACCCCTCCCCCAAAATCATCCAATAATAATCTTCCTTCTTGCCGAACGAGCCTTTAGCTCGGTCAAAACTGGCCACCCACGTGAAGCCATAACGGATTCTGATCGTGCTATCGAGATCATCGGATCCTCTCGTGGACAAGACGAAATTATTGATTTAAGTACTGGTGCTGCAGATGATCGTAAATCCATGAAAGAATATTGGGGCAAAGCTTTAACGAGCAAAGCCGAAGCATTAGAAGCACTTGAAAAATGGAAAGATGCAAGTGAAGTCTGGAAATTATGCATCGAAGGTGGTGTGGGTGGAGCTACCGCTATACAAGGTCGTCAACGCTGCGATAAAGCCCTCACACCTCGCCCCGCTTCCCGCCCTGCTCAAACACCCCGGCCCAAACCCTCGGCTACTGCTTCATTAGCTCCAACCCCCGACTCGGAAGCAGTCCTACGCTTACGTGCCGCCAATCAAGCTGCGGACAAAGCAGATGATGAAAAGTTAGCTTTGGTAGACAAAGTTGAGGAAAGAGTCAATAAGTGGAGAGAAGGGAAACGGGATAATTTAAGAGCCTTGATTGGGAGTATGGAGAATGTGCTTTGGGATGGGAGTGGGTGGAAGAAAGTGGGCTTGCATGAGTTGGTTATTAACTCCAAGGTTAAAATTAATTATATGAAGGCGATTGGGAAGTGTCATCCTGATAAGGTCAGTTTACCTCTCTTTTCTTTTCGATTGGGTTGTCAAGATGTGAAGTGTGAAGTGCAAGGAGAATGGCAGCTAACAGTTTTGTAGCTACCACAAGGTGCATCGCAAGAAGTGAGGATGATTGCTGCGTTGGTCTTCTCGACCTTGAATGAGAGTTGGGATAGTTTCAAGGCGCAGAATGGCATGTAGAGAGGAGTTGCCAGTTCAAGTGTACAGGGATTGGTGCTAGGAGTGAGGTGGGGTGTGAGGTGGGTGTGCTCAGATTCGAAGTTAATGGGAAATGGAACGGCTTGGAAATATGAAGTTATGATGTTGATGATGTTGATGAATTAGAATCGCGCTCAGATTTGAATGAAACTAAATGTTTATTTCACAGCTTTGTGCTAAGTCACATTGTGTACTTACTGTAGACCTATGGATTTGAAGATAATACTATGGTTGTTAATACGCAGGTATAGTATAAACTTGTAAAAACACAGTTCTTACCATAGATTATAGATTATATATTCGCCAGCACTAGTTTATACTGTAGCGCAAGCACTAGCTAGCTTCTTCTCATCTCATCTCATCTCATCTCATCTCTACAACTGCATTCATTATCATACGAGTAGATTATTTTCTATGTTTACGAGTATTGATATTATAAATATAAATATACACATACACATCTACTTTACTTCTAACAAAACTATATACTCACTCGTATATACAGTACTCGAGTATTACCAAAACACAATCACAATCATAATCACAATCAGTATACAAAATACCATATTCAAAAATCCAAACAACACAAATACAATAGATGAAAGAACACTATAATGACTCATAATATACTGAGTATTGAGTATCGAGTAGTTAGATGTTAGTTATATATTAGTTAGTAAATGATGTGATATAATAGGGATGGGGACTCGGACTTTTTGGAAATACATTTATCGTCATTGATATTCTCGAATACTATCGCTGTACTCTTCCTTCATCTATAGTGAAAATGCCACTACTTATCACCAACCCTCATCGCCATCACCCTCTCTTGCCATCCAGTTCCCCCACTCAAAATCATCAAACCCATAACCAATTACCCCTCTTCTACCCTCTCCCCTCTCCCCTCTCCCTCTCACTACCACTACCACTCAAACCATCTATCTCCCTTCCCCCTTCTCCCTTTATCAACAACCAGTAAGAATTCCCCAGTAAAATCTCCCAGTAAAACCTCCCAGTAAGAATCCCCCAATAAAATAAGTATCCTCTCTCTCCCCAACCCCCCCCCCCAAAATATATATTCCTATTCCTATTCGCTTTATTACAATTACAATTCCAATTCCAATTCTTAACCCCAACCCCAACCCTAATCCTATATATAAATATCAATTAAATTTTATATTTTATAACTACAATAATATAATATAATATAACATATCGGTCGGTGCTACTCGTAGAGTAGCTCCAAAGCCCTCTCTCTCTCTCTCTCTCTCTCTCTTCGAGTTTTTTCAAGTTCTCTACTTGTAGAAAAGGAAAAAAAAAGAAAACCAAAAAAATTACTTCTCTAAAAACAAAGAAAAAAACCCTCGTTT